CAGAAGGTTAATTTAAAAACTTTCACGTAGATAGATGAATGTTACAATCTGACAACCTTCCCAACAACCGATGAAAGCTCTAATTCAACAACCTTCACAATCAACATCGAGAGTTATAATCTGATGACTCTCATAATTTTAAGGAGCTAAGACGAAGGTTACAAGATGACGATCTTTGCAATGCTTTAGCAAAAGAGACTACAAATTGACGGTCTCGTCAAATCAAAACGCAGATATCTCTCAAACCGTAAGAAATTTGGTGAAATAGATGGGAGCAAACCAAACCCTTTGGGTTGGTTTGGTCGGCTCCGTCTCGTCAAGATAGTCGATTTTTATATATAATTCGTTCAATTCCGACTTACGGTTTGAAAGTTATGACATGTTCTTCGCAGTAAGTTATGTTCTGAAGCCCGTCTGCAAGACTGGAGACTTCGCCTAAACATTGGACTTCGCCTGAAGCTCGTCAAGCTTGCCTGAGGCTCGCCTCTGCGTTCCAGAGTCAAGACGCAGAGTTCATATTTGCGTCCCAACAACAAAACACAGGATTCATCGCTGCATTCCAGATCCAAAAGGCAGTGTTCACTACTACGTTTTCAGCTCGAAACGCAGGGTTCGTGGCTATGTTCCAAACTCAAAACGCAGAGTTCATGCTTGCATTCCAAACTCAAAATGCAGAGTTCGTGGCCGCATTCTAGACTCAAAACACAGAGTTCGTGGCTGCGTTTCAGACTCAAAACGCAGAGTTCGTGGCTGCATTTTCAGGCACAAATGCAGAGCCCAATTCTGCGTCCCAGGTCCAGAACGCAGAATTCATGACCAGAACGCAATTCTTGCATTTTACTCGTTCAAACACGAGCTGAACGGTTTCAAAACCGTTTCCCACGATTTGAGGGGATCATCCCCCAATTAAGAGCGGATTAAGGGACGGTTACACCCGAAAACCCCCCTATAAATATCAAAAACTCAACTGAGTTCAGGATCCTTTTCAGATCAATCTTTTGGAGATCGGCACAAGGCTTCTTGGCATAAGAAAGATCTCGGCAATCTTTAGACCTTCGGAGTTGTTCTTGGAGCTTTCATCAACCTTGGCTTACAAACCGATTTTCGGTTAAATCTTCCATAGAGTTATAACTCGCTCAGAGTTCCCTAACTCGTTAAGAGTTCTGTTTAAAGTTACCATGCAAGTTCTCCTCAACATCAAGTCAAGAGGAAAACACCGTGTTCTAATGAGGTGAAGCGTTCGGATCGTCAACGGAAAGCAAGCTCGACACGAACATCGAGGGAGGCATTCCATCGACACCAAGAAGAACCCAGGTTAAACAAAGGAAAAGATCTCCGTTGATTTTTCTCTCTTTTGTAAATCGGGAAACCGATCGAGAAGATTTGTAATTTCTTTTTTTAAGTTTGTTAGAGAGAGATTGCATTGAGAGAATTGTAATTAATTCTTTCTCTAAGTATGTTAGAGGGAATAATACAAATTCAATTCTCCATAACGGGAACATCGACGATGAGGGAGGAGGATGGAGGCGATGAGTGAGAGCGATGCTACAGCCTCCGACCACGACGAGAGCGCCTGCGAAGACGAGGAGAAGGAGGACAAGAGCTCGTCGAAGAAGACGTTGTCGTTGAAGACGGAGATGCGACCGCGATCGGACTTCGAGGGCGTCGATGAGGGAGGTGGAGGGGGGTCGATGAGGAGCGTGAGATTGGGGTTAGGGATTTGAAGAGGACGCAGGGGGTTTTAGACTTTTTAGGGAATTTTTTTGGGGGAGACAGGTTTAGTACAGGGAGAGAACGGAGAAAAAAGAGGTTTTATTTAAAATTTTTTATTAAAACTCCCAAATGGTTTAACCCGTTTGGGAAAACACTCCCAAACGGTGTGCACCATTTGGGCGAAGCGTTTGGGATCTTTTCGTGGCCCAAACGGTTTTGACCATTTGGGTTTTATTAAACCCAAACGGTTTAAACCGTTTGGGCTGTTTTCACTTGTCCAAACGGTTACGAGAACCGTTTGGACGGTCCGGTCTTGTACTAGTGAAAATTAGTGCAGTTGCAACTAGAGCTGCAACCATCACATTTTAAAACGACCCATTCTCAGGCTTCTTACGTACGCTTCAAAGACTTTTATCACGGTGCTGTAATATAACAGTTCTAATTTAGTAGGATTAAACTAACCTTTTTTTTATCAGGATGTTTTGATACCGCAATGGTGTATAACAGTTGCCACTTGCCAGCGGGGGCTTCCTTTTGGAATGGTTGCTGCATTCGGACGTGAACAAAAGAGAACACAAGTGTCAGTTGTTTATTGGGTTAATTGCAGATTGACCAGCTGCACTATGGCTCAATAGTGGAAAGACATACTGTGGTTCAACAGTTGCAGATAAACTCCGTGATAAGTGAAGGTATTTTTTTTATTACTCTTTTACCTTTTAGGAGGTCTATTTGTCCAAAAATAAAGGTTAATTTCACAACACCACTCCACCCCCCCCCCCCCCCCCCCAAAAAAAAAAAAAAAAAAAAAAACAAAAAAAAACAAAAAACTTTAAGGGTTAATTTCACAACACCATTCCACCCCCTAAACTATCCAGTGTCTCAAAAAAAAACCCTTGAAATTTAGCTTATCTCACCTAACCTCCATGTCTGTAATTAACAAATAACTAAATTTTCTTGATAGAGAAAAATTTCATACTGTAGAGGAAGTAGTATGTTGTCTTTAAATGACAAGTGATGAAGTTTGGAAATTTTTCACTTGAAGACATTTTAGTTATTTGAAAATCACATCGGGGGGTTCGGTGAGATAAGTTAAAGTTCATGGCGGTTTTGTGAGACACCCCATACTTTAGGGGAGTTTAGTGAGATAAACAAAGTCCAGGGGGTTATGTGCAATACCCTCTAAGTTTTGTGAAATCAACTCAAAAATAAAATTTCCTTTTCCCTTGAGGGTAAAAGAGTCAGAGAAGCCCTTACTCAGGGATTTATCTGCAGCCACGGAACTAAAGGGGCCTATTCACAATCGGGAAAAAGCACAAGAGGTCCGTGTGCACCTAAATCTTGTTTATTTCCAGACACTTTCCTGCTTAAACGGGGAGATGGATGGTATTGATTTGGTCAAACTCTCAATATTGCTGTGAAATATTATTACCGTGCTACCCCCTCACTTCTCAGAAAAGCCTGAACAATCCTAAATTAAATGATTGAAATTAAAAAAGGAAAAAAGAAAAAAAAGAAAATTTGGCCAAATCTTATTTCCGTTGCACCTTTCTTCAAGTTTCTCAATCTTCTTTGCAATTACTTGCGACAGTACTTGAACTAGGACCAACAATGGCCGCATCAGTTTCTCAAGGGAGTGATAAGGTCTAATTCCAACAATTAATATTTACAGGACAAATTTTTAAAATAGACTCAATGTAATAGTTATTCAATAAAATTAATCCTCTCTAAATTTATTTACAACACGTCAGCACAGTGGGCTAAACTTGGATTGATTTTTAAAAAACAGTAATTACCTACAGCTGGCAACTCTGCTTAATTAGTGAAGATAATTAAGTTCAAAATAGTCTTAGTTGGCGACCACAACTATTTTTCAAATGAAGTTCTAAATAGTCACGGTTGCCGACCACGACAATTTTGAACTATGATCTACTACTAATTAGATGGGATTGACAATCTCATCTAATTAGGTAACTGTTTTTTTTAAATCGATCCAGTCTCAGCCAACAATACCAACAATGCTGACGTGGTTGAAACTGAGCCGGTTTTTTTATAAATAAATTCGAAAAGATTCGAATCCTATCAATAAATATTAAAATAATGAGCCCAAAAAATTATCCAATTTCCAAATTACAGAGTAGATCAATAGCCAAAACACCTCTCAAATTTGAACTCAGAGAACCATCTAAAACCTCAACAGGCCCTCAAATTAATCATCAGTAAAATCCAGTCACTGATGACTGAAAGGTCATCACGGGCAAAAAACAAAGAACAATGGAACCAATCAGGGAGCAATAAATCTGTGCACGCTACCATCCGCGAAAACGGCACTGCCCTCTGCAGAAGCTCAGCAGCGCTCTCATGTCTCTATCAGTAAAACAACAACAGTGTACCTCGTCAATGATGCTCTCCACTGAAACGAAAGAGCCCCCACCTGAACACAGCACATTATTATGTTCACATGTTCTCTATGTACATTTCAATTTTACAGGCTTACAGCAGCACTATATATACTAATCGCTTCTAATTATGACGGGGCTCATGCATGCTTCCCACTAATTTATTTTCTTTACTTATAAAACCATTGCTTAAATGCTCACTTTCTTCCTGTGAATAGGGGGGCATATGATGATTAATGATGGGTGTTGGGCCCATTATTGATGATCCAGTTCCCACTCGCAGATTAATCTCTTTTTTGCAAATACCACCCCCGGACGCTTAAAAATGCAAGTTGAATATCTTCTTGTTGTGATTTTGGTGAATTTATGAAACAAACAGGTAACTTCTCTGATACAGTGATGCACTCGGGTTCTTGCAATTGGCACCTGCAAGCTGAGTGAAGAAAAACAGAAGTTGGAATGTGTCTTCACTCAAGCTATCAGTTTTCAGTTCTTACAGTATACCAAGGTTTTAGCAGATACTACATGCAAATTTGAACTTTTTATTTTGCACAAGGCTGTGTTTGGTACTTTGGTTAGTAGAGGAGCAACTGAAGCTGGAAGTACTCTTACAAATAACATAGCAACTCAAAATTTTGTTAATTCGAAATAGGAGAATCACTACGGGAATAAGATTAAGTAATGTTTTTATCGACAGAAATTTGAACCAAATGATTTTATAAATGCGCATATAACTTCAAAATATTTATCGACTAAAAATACCTGTAAACTTCTGTTGTCGGAACACGCTTTAATCTGAACACAAGAACACTTTCCTAGTTTCAACATAAGTCGTGCTATACCTTTTAGAGTTTATAACATCCAATCAAGTGAACGTATTAAAATTCTAATGTCGTTGAAACCCCCTGAGACTCCAATTAATGCTAACTGAGCACATGCAAAAAGGGGGGAAAAAAGAAGAAGAAGAAGAAAAAGGGATCACTAACATATCATAAGTACTACACGGAGATAAATACCCTATCCATCATGCTCCTCTCACACAAACCATCACTCGTAATTACTTAACATTCCCCTACCTACAATGGCCATCCAAAGAATGGAAGCAGAAGACCAAGAAGCCCTCTTCAGTTCCTCTCCCTGCACCGCTCTCTACTACGTCCAGAGCCCCTCCACTGCCTCCCACGCCAACAGCCTCCACAGCGACGTCGTGGTCCGTGGTCGTCCGCCACCCTTCGTCTGAATCCTCCCTGCTCTCTCCCTTCGAAGCCAACCGCAACCGCGAGGCCTCACGCTGCACATTGTCACGCTACTCCTCCTCCCGCGGCTCCAACAACTCCCATGTCAGCGTCCTCAAGAGCGGAAAGCTCAAAATCGTCAACAAAATTGGAGAAGACGTGGAGTATGATGATGAGGAGCCTCCATTAAGAAGAAATGGGCTCTGGAGGTTCATTGCTTTGGATCCTACCTCTTCTTGCTGCTGCCTCATGTTCCAAATCCTGTGGAGGTTTCTGCTGAGCGTCGGTTTTGCGCTCCTCTTGTTCTTCCTTATAACAAAACCTCCGTCGCCCAAGGTTTCGTTTGAGATTGTAGGGCTGAAACAGTTTAGCCTTAGTGAAGGGCTTGATAACACTGGAGTTGTTACCAATATTTTCTCTAGCAATTGCTCGATAGACATGGTGATTGATAATAATTCGAAGGTGTTCGGACTGCACATTCATCCTCCTAGTTTAGAAATGGCTTTTGGACGCTTAAAACTCACGCAGTCTAAGGTAATAATAACAATTGAATTTGCTGGATAGATTGTGTATTTTCTAATTTGGATACTGATGACGAAGAGATTACATTACAGGGTTCTGAACTGTACGTAGAGAGTAAGAGCTCGTATGTAAAAAGACTACATGTCGGTGTTAAGGATAGACCAGTGTATGGTGCTGGACGACGAATGCAGGATATGCTCGAGTCTGGACAGGGGTTACCGTTGATGGTTCGAGTCAGATCAAGATCAAGTTATCGAGTAGTTTGGAACCTGATCAAGCTGAGGTATCTTCATCATGAAGAGTGCCTTTTGGTTCTGGGTGGCGGTGAGAAGGATAGGAAACAAAACATCCGTATTCACAATAGCACCTGCTCCTCAAATTATCAGAAATGAAGCATATAGACATACATAGAAAATATTATCTTCATGGTATTGTGTGCAGAAGCATTTCTCAAAATAACTCAACTTTGTTATTTGTAAGCATGGAAATGTTAATTGAGATGTATTGGAGATTGCGTATGTATATCCCGCTGAACTACTTCTGAGATTAATGAAGGACAAATTTTTAAAAAAGACCATTTTCTAATGTTAATAAGCAAAATCGACCACTTAGAATTTTATTCAGCCAAATCGACCGCACGGGACTAGTAGTCCCGTGCAGTACTCTGATCTTCCAAAAGCCCCAACGACCTCCTCCTCTCCCCCTCCCACTCCCCCTCCCTCTCCTCCCTCCTCCGCCCTCTCCCTCTCCTCCCTCCTCCCCCACGAGGCCCACCAACTCCCACGCGCCTGCCCCCCGATCCCGCGACCACTGCCCGCCCTCTAACCCCCGTGGTCTCCGCCGCTTTCCTCTTCCGCCTCCTCCCTCCGCACCTCCTCGGGCTCGCAACCTTCCGCATGTCAAACCCTCTTTCACTTCTACCTCCTCGCTCTGGACCCTCTCCCCCTCCCTATCTCCCTCCCCTCCCCTCCCCTCCCTGCTAGACTGTCAAGCTCTCCGCCGCCCTCCTCCGCCCTCCTCCGCCTTAGCCCACGCCCGCCCCCTTCCCTTCGTCGCCCGCCGCCTCAAGCCCTTACCCTCCCCCTCCATCGCCGCCCTGCGCCTATCGCACGCCGAGACCCTCCACGCCGCCTCCGAGGCCCTCCCCCACCTCTTCGAGCTCTCCTCCTTCGACGTCCCCCCGTCGTTCAGGGCTTTGGCTGGATGTCCCTCCCTGGCTGCCACGGCGCCCTCGCCTACTCTCGCTTCCCCGTCGCTCCGGCCCCTTGGGTTTTTTGTTTTTTTGGGAGAACTGCACGGGACTACTAGTCCCGTGCGGTCGATTTTGCTGAATAAAATTCTAAGTGGTCGATTTTGCTTATTAATATTAAAAAATGGTCTTTTTTAAAAATTTGTCCATTAATGAATAATCCAAAGTAATAATAATCCTTTACCTTGGTTTGCAACCTTCTTTGGTTATTGCTTTTTCCTAGCATTCTTGAACTCTGTCGACAAAGATTTGGCATCCTACTATTCAAATCCAAGCGGAAGAAACTCGAGCCTAAATTGCAGTGTACTACTAGTTTGAACAGGACAGAGTGATACTCTCAAAAACTAAATAGTACAGAGGAACATACACATTGTTTAATTATTAACCACAGTAAAATGCAAAAATGCATTCCAAATACACCTCAGGTTAGCAAAAGGGGGAAAAAACTGAAAATCCTGCAATCAATCGCCGATAACCAAGTAATAAAATTAGTTGCTAATCCATAAACATGTCCTGTACCACACCTGTCTGATTATTAGAGCGCATGATTATCTGTTAAAAAGAAGCCAGAGTTCAATTTTGTCATCTCAAGTTTTTGGTCTTCGGCAAAATCTAGGAACTTGATTAGATTGCTTATGCATTCAGTCAGAAACGAATACCAACCAGTACAAACAACTAAGAAAATAAAAAAAGTCACTTCCTTTGAATTTGTCAGATTTCTTCTGTCTATTTCATTATGATAATTAATGGTTTTAAGCATGCTACGCAGGACACATAATTATAACTACCAAAGTACACGAGAGAACTATAAATATTCTTCAGACAGCCATCAACACAAATATGAAGACGAAAAAGGAGGGAGAGAAGTAACGACATTGTGACAAGTGCACCTTATGTTTATGTGACAATTAACGTATCAGTACAACAATCATTAGTCGACAGCACTTTGCTGCTCCCATCGAAGATCGTATGATAAGTGCAGGATGACAGCCTTCTTATGACACAGTTCCATCATCCACACGCATGCTTCTCTTTCCAAATAGAGTACCACAGCTTCTCTCTTCCCACGAGTGTCCATCTCAATATAGCAGGCTCCATTGCTCCTAAGCTCTGGCTTAGTTCTGACAATGGGGATGAGAAGCTCTCTCTTGAGCATGTAGCATGCACGCTCATCACATTGCTCAATAGTTTTATATCCACCATCTAGAAGTATGAGCATTAATTTATGTCCTGAAGTATGCTTCAAATTTACTTTTGGCGCGATACACTCAAACGGTCCACCTTCAAACTAGCTGCAGAAACATGACTCGAGGCGAGAGAATTTTTATAGAAGCTAGATGATGAATGGTTTAGGCTAAAAACATGAAGATCAAAAATTCATGTTTAATGAGAAACATGAATCCACGAGTATATGGAATTTCAAATTAAGCAATACTGAAGAACTATAAGAATTGATCTCAGGTTCATATTCAAGATAAATTGTGGCAAATCTTCATAATTTTAACATATTC